GTTCACCTGTGTCCTCAGAAGGGACTCTATTTTTGGAACTCAAGCATATGTGACCCTTCCAGATGGATGGAAGGGCACTTGTTCTTTGGCCTGGTTAGTTCCAGATGTATCCCTCATAGGAGTTACTCAAAGAGTTTCCCTCTCTATGGTAACTGAAACACCCATATCCAAGCAGGAGGTCCTTACACTCCTCTTGCTAGGGGCCCTCCTAGGGAGCAGCCTTAGGACTGGCCACAGGGATCACGAGGACTGTCCTTCTCCACTCTCTCAAGAATTAGGCAAATCCATTCAAGAAACTATGTAAGTCTTGGCAACCTTAGGCCACCAACTCAACTCACTGGCAGGTAGGACAATTAATTTTCTTTTAGACACGGGAGCCACCTACTCTGTCTTAACCTCCTTTACAGGTAAGCTTTCCTTCAACTCCAGTCTGGTTATCCTGGTGGTCACTCTCAGGGGTAGTCCTCCAAAATCAAAGGGCATTAGATAGCTCACTTTAGCCCAAAGGGGCACATTAGTCCAGGAAGAATGTTGCTTTTATGTCCATCAGTCAGGTTATTCAAGAAAGTATCAAAAGACTTCAAATGCAAGCCCATCGTCTCCTATCAGCAAGCACATCCACCATCTCCCTATCCTGGGGTCTTATGTCATGGATACTTCCCTTCATGGGGCCTTTCCTTTGCATGATCCTTTTGCTTTTTGAACCATGTCTTCTTTTTTTTTAATTTTTTTTTTTCAATGTTTATTTATTTTTGGGACAGAGAGAGACAGAGCATGAACGGGGGAGGGGCAGAGAGAGAGGGAGACACAGAATCGGAAACAGGCTCCAGGCTCTGAGCCATCAGCCCAGAGCCCGACGCGGGGCTCGAACTCACGGACCGCGAGATCGTGACCTGGCTGAAGCCGGACGCTTAACCGACTGCGCCACCCAGGCGCCCCTGAACCATGTCTTCTTAATCTTATAACTAAGTTCATCTCCTCTTGTGGTAGACAAGACCAGCTTCACCTCTTACTGCAACAAGGATATCAGCCCCTTTCGAGAAAACATCAAGACTACTATAGCCCCTGGACTGGAGTGGTCAAACCTTCTGAGACCAGGACACAAGCCCTATTCCACCCTATAACCTCATACTACCTCCTCATGGCCCAGACAGATATCAAAGAGTGAAACTCTAATGAAAAACACTGCCCCTGTTCAGTAGGAAGCAGCTACAGAAGCTTGACTTTGGCCCTCAACCTGAAAGATTTCAGAGCCCCAAGTCCTTGAAGGGGAAATAACAGAGTAGGCACTTGGTTAGCTATGAGCTGGAGGCAGGGAAGGCCATAAACAGGTTACGTTTAGAGACTTGAGGGCAAAAGGTTCCCAACTTTCCAGGGCTCTAGGACCCAGAGCAGCAGGTACAAGGCTTGCGCTTCTCTCTAACTCTTGTGCCCCAGAGTAACCCTAGACTTCATTACAATGCATTTGTATTAGTTTGCCATCCCCGTTGGGAAACGGACATGACAGTTTCCGGAGACAGTTTCGACAGGAACCTAGCAGGGTCAAAGTTCCCCCTACCGGTAGGAGTGAAAAAACAACTGTAGCCTCGGGGCAGTCGCCAACTCCAGGCCTGCCCACTCCATCCAGAAAGTGTACCGCCCTTTAAAAAACTGCTTTGTGCTTGCTACCTTCCTTCTCACGGTCTTTATGCCAGTGCGGATCCTCGTGTAAATCTTTTGTGGGGAATGCAAGAACCGAGACTTCCACTGACACAAGGCAAGCTTCCACGGGTAACAATTAATAAAAGGTGTTTCGAAGGGGGGCCAGGAATCCACTCCATATACCAAAAAATGAAGAATGTTGTCAAAAGAGCAGTGAAATCTAGACTTCGCTAGCACCGATGGTGTTCTGGACACTGCCGTGACACCTGCGAAACAAGTTCCAACAGGGTCGACCTCGCTTTGCTCGGCCCCGCGGAGCCAAGGAAAAGACGTCTTATGGGAGTCGACCCTGGGGGAGCTGCCGGCGGTGCTGTCAATCTGCAAAACCCCAGAGGCTCAGAAAAGAGGTTTGCGCAAGGGCAAGAGGAAAAGGGCCGCGCGAGGGTGTCACGGACGGGAGCGGCGGTGAGGCTGTCACAGGGCGGCCTCCCCCTTCCCGGCCTCGGGCCCCAGTCACTCACATGCGGGGCCCGCGCCCCCTCGGGCTCCTCCCGCCTCGGGGACTTCAGCCTCCGGGCGAGGAGGGTAAGCCGCCAACTTCCTGCTTCCGGGCGCGCAACCCGGAAGCAACTCCCACGCCACAGGCAAGGCTGCGCGTGCTAGGGTAGCTCCTTCCTCACGCCTCGCGCTTCCGTCAGAAACAGAACCCGCGACTTGGCCGCGCGCACGCGCGCGCGCGAAGTTCCGCGATATCTGGAGAGTGCGGGTTCCTGCTCCCCCTGGCGTCAGGTTCTTTCTGCTCGGCCCACTTGAGTCTTTACCGGGGTCTGTCCTCTTCCGCGCTCGCGCGGATTCAGCAGCTGAGCTGATTCATCCAACAGCCTTTGATTGGGCCCCCCCCTACTCCGTGCCAGGCAGCGTGTTAGGCATTAAGGAGTGGGAAGGATAGGTAACGGAGGGCAGGCCCTTACCTCTAGGAGCTCTTAGTCTAAAAGAAAGACAGGCAAACAAATCATACAAATAAACACACAGCCCACTCATAAATATTTATTGGAGCTTACTCTGTGCGAGACATTACCAACCCTTTATGGTTGTGAAACCAATTCAACAACCCTATCATATAAATAGTCCCTATAGGGGCCAAAAGGCAGGCCACCCAAAGACGGACACTTTGGCATGATGATTATTTTGAATTAAAAGCAAACCAAGGGGCACCTGGCTGGTTCAGTTGATAAAGCTTGCAACTCTTGATCTCAGGGTGGTGAGTACAAGCCCCACATTGGGCGTGAAGTCTACTTTAAAAAAATAAAAGCAATAAAAACCCAGCAGATTTAGGAAAAGCTCTCTACCCACCCCCTCAACTGCCTGCCTATACCAGAAAGAACTATTAATAGAGATCCCTCTTTACCTAAGAAATTTATAGGGCAATCTTTGTTTTCCAAACATCTCTCGCCTTACTACTAATAGAACAAGGCCTTCCTTTCCTTTGTATTCCCAAGTTCTGCCCCTCTCCTTAGCTCAGGATGTCTCATGTTGGCTATCTTTGGAATTTCGTGTGTGTGTGTGTGTGTGTGTGTGTGTGTGTATGCGTGTGCATTCTCCACATGTATGAAACTAAATTTGATTTTCTCTTGTTATTCTGTCTCATGTCAGTTTGGTTCTTTGTCCAGCTGGAAGGACCTTGAAATGCAGAAGAAATTCTTCCTCCCTGAAAACTTATCCTCATACCAACCAAACTGAGGTTTACGGAAAGGTTAACTTGCTCAAGATTACACAAAGAGTGGTGGGGTCACAATTAGAACCCAGGCTACTTATTTTGCCCAGTCCTTAGTGCCAAGATCCTAACTTTTCTGCTAGAGACCTGCCATCAAAATGTTACTGGGTTCATACTAATAAAGCTAACTACAAAGGTAGTGTGATACTGATGCAGGGATAGGCAAACCAATTGTGCAGAATAAAGAGACCAAAATGAGAACCACACATATATATACACTTGCTTTATGACAAAGAGGTACAACTGAGGACTGAGGAAAGGACAATGCTATCAATAAATAGTTCTGGCTCGGTTATATATACGTATAGGAAAAAATGAAACTTAACTCCAACCTCACACCATACACCAAAATAAATTCTATGTGTATTATAGCTCTATATGAAAAAAAATTGAAACAAAACTTTAGAGTAGCTCTGTCCAATACCATTGCCATGCAAGTGACTAGTGAGTACTTAAATGTGGCTAGTCAGAATTTAGATGTTCTGTAAAAGATAAATTGATACAGTTTACCACACTAAAATTAGCAACCGGAGCACCTGAGTGGCTCACTTGGCTAAGCATCCGACTTTGGCTCATGTCATGATCTCTTGGCTTGTGAGTTCAAACCCCATGTCAGGCTCTCTGCTGTCAGCACGGAGCCCACTTCAGTTCCTATCTCCCTCTCTTTCTGCCCCTACCCAGCTCATGCTTTCTCTCTGTCTCAAAAATAAATAAAAACATCAAAAAAATTAAATTAGAAACCACCTCTCATCATCAAAAGACACAAGGTACTGGGGCCTGGGTGGCTCAGTCTGGTGAGTGTCCAACTTCAGCTCAAGTCATGATCTCGCGGTCCGTGAGTTTGAGCCCTGCATCGGGCTC